AAAGAATTAAAAGCCAATCAGATTAATGAAAATAAATTGAAGAGTTAAGTGCTAATTAAATGCCCCAATAAAATAATATTGTTTCGCATGTTCTCCTAACTTCAGATTAACTTAACAGACCAGAGTAGTGAAAAACAATTAAAAATATATATATTCAAATGAGAATGAATTGAAAAATTGAGTGCTTATTAAATGCTCCAGTAAAATAAATATTGCTCCCTTTATTTTAATAAATTTCGCATGTTCTGCTTAATTCAGATAAACTCAGCAGAGCAAAGTAGTGACAAACAATTAAAAATTAATCTAATCGAATTAGAATGAATTAAAAAATTAAATGTTAATTAAAAGCCCCAATAAAATTAATATTGCTCCCTTTTTTTTACATTTCGCATGTTCTGCTAAATTCAGATCAACTCAGCAGAACAGGGTAGTAGCAAATAATTAAAAATAAATCTAATCGAATGAAGATGAATTAAAAAAATCAACTGCCCCAATAAAAATATTATTGCTCCATATTTTTAATATTGCCTATTCTGCTAGCTTCAGGTGAACTTAGCAAAGCGGAGTAGTGATAAACAAAGAGATTAAATAATTTAGTTTTAAAAAAATCTAGAACCAAGAATAAAGTGCTTACCTCTTTTGGAATTTGTTAAGGGATGTTTGAAGAATCTCTACACTTGCCTAGAGGGGATTATTCCTGGATTATACCTAAGTATAAGTACTTTAAATATGGACATTATCTCGCGTTGATAATATCCACAATAAAAGTGATGATGATATTGGTGAGTCTCTTTAAGGTTTTAAAATAAAATGAAAGTAGAAATAATTATGGAGAATATCAAGTGTTAATTGTATTTTTCACTCAAAAATATACTAATGAAAAAATACAACCGATCTTTATATAGAACAACTTAAAATTAACACCAGGTAGTTTTCGTTGTTCTTCAGAGTGTCTTTTTAGGCTAACATAAAATGAGTCTAATTTTTGGTAGTTTGAGTAACTTTAATCCTAATGAACCCTTCCTATTAAATGCCTTAAAAAACATACGCATGAAGTTAATAAAATGATAGTTGATAAGGCATTAGACAGAGCAAAGTTGGACAAATCTTGAGCTATCCCTACAACACTCAAATAACGAATCCAACGCTTGTATAATTTACGTTGATCCAAACAGTTCCTAAAAAGGGCCTCATGCAGGGGCGAATCTACTTAAGCGCATTTTGGACTGCAGCCCAGGGTAAATACAATAGGCCCCCAGTCCCCATTGAAAACATGTTAATTGTGTTGCCTATAATGCCGTGTTTGTTTCACATCAAAAAACATAAACATACAATTCGAATAGTTATCAAAGAACCAAAAGATACAATTGTAATTAAACAATTACAATTTTTTATATAAAAAATACCTAATTTTTTTAGATTTTGTATATGAAACATAGACAATGAGGTAATTATTATAGCGGTTTTTCTCAATGGTGCTAATAACAGTCAGCTGTCAAATCGGAGCAGTCAGAGATTGTCAGAAGAAAGTTTTTATTCAGTTTTTATTCGTGAGCTCTGTTATCAGCTTTAATTAGTGTAGTCTTTTATAAAATTTGGAAACTGTTTAATAACTAATTGAGCATACACGTTACACTATTGTCTCTAAACGGGGCAGGTTAATTAAAATAAGTAAACGGTTTTCTTTGCTCAATTAATAAATTAATGTCTCTTGAAAAGGTAAGTCAGTGCATATGTGTATTATGTATGTTTATTATCCAAACATACGTGACTAATTTCTTTCCCATTCTTTCTTTTAATAACCATTCATCGCTTGATAAATATATCATTACCGTTGTACTTTTATTGTGATATCATTCGATCCAATTCTCACATTTCAATAGTATTTATGTATTTTTTTTATACATAGGTGTTTCAAAAAGCAATACTAAGATTATTTGTAAAAGTATCAACAAAAAAGATACAAAATGAATTATTTTACCCTTATTAAAATTAATCAAAATGTTAACTCCTTCTAGATGGCTGCTGTTGGCGAAATTTGGATTTCTTGGNACTTTAATCCTAATGAACCCTTCCTATTAAATGCCTTAAAAAACATACGCATGAAGTTAATAAAATGATAGTTGATAAGGCATTAGACAGAGCAAAGTTGGACAAATCTTGAGCTATCCCTACAACACTCAAATAACGAATCCAACGCTTGTATAATTTACGTTGATCCAAACAGTTCCTAAAAAGGGCCTCATGCAGGGGCGAATCTACTTAAGCGCATTTTGGACTGCAGCCCAGGGTAAATACAATAGGCCCCCAGTCCCCATTGAAAACATGTTAATTGTGTTGCCTATAATGCCGTGTTTGTTTCACATCAAAAAACATAAACATACAATTCGAATAGTTATCAAAGAACCAAAAGATACAATTGTAATTAAACAATTACAATTTTTTATATAAAAAATACCTAATTTTTTTAGATTTTGTATATGAAACATAGACAATGAGGTAATTATTATAGCGGTTTTTCTCAATGGTGCTAATAACAGTCAGCTGTCAAATCGGAGCAGTCAGAGATTGTCAGAAGAAAGTTTTTATTCAGTTTTTATTCGTGAGCTCTGTTATCAGCTTTAATTAGTGTAGTCTTTTATAAAATTTGGAAACTGTTTAATAACTAATTGAGCATACACGTTACACTATTGTCTCTAAACGGGGCAGGTTAATTAAAATAAGTAAACGGTTTTCTTTGCTCAATTAATAAATTAATGTCTCTTGAAAAGGTAAGTCAGTGCATATGTGTATTATGTATGTTTATTATCCAAACATACGTGACTAATTTCTTTCCCATTCTTTCTTTTAATAACCATTCATCGCTTGATAAATATATCATTACCGTTGTACTTTTATTGTGATATCATTCGATCCAATTCTCACATTTCAATAGTATTTATGTATTTTTTTTATACATAGGTGTTTCAAAAAGCAATACTAAGATTATTTGTAAAAGTATCAACAAAAAAGATACAAAATGAATTATTTTACCCTTATTAAAATTAATCAAAATGTTAACTCCTTCTAGATGGCTGCTGTTGGCGAAATTTGGATTTCTTGGTTTAGTTGCTGTGTAGCTCAACCTCAAAAAAGACATAGACATAGAATAGATAGGTTTGTTGTTGTGCATTTATTTTACAAACCATTATTTTGTTATTGTAATAGTACTATTTTCATTAAAGAAAAATGACTTATTGATAACATTTAGCTGATATGTTAATATATTTAGGTCCATGATAGGCAATCCAATGAATTTCCAACATACAGCCCACATAGGCAGTAGAGACATGGAAATGCCAAATGATCAATTAAATGCACTTCAGCTACAAATGCGTAGTAAAGGAGGATATGAAGCAGCATACAAGGTAAGATTTATGACATATTAGTCTTCTTTATTGTTAAAAGGAATAAGGAATAAGTCCATTTAATTCTTTATTTCCAGGAAACAGACTGGTGTCGATAAATTAAAGATCTTTATTCTTTTGGTTGTGTAAAATATAAGCACTGATTAATATTTATTGTAATAAAACATGATTGTCCTTATGCACATGTGCAGCCAAATTAATTTGTTTTATATTAATAAGACTCCTGTTTAATGTTAAATGTGTTATGTGCCTTTATTGTTTTGAGTTGTGATATTATGTAATATTTAATATTGTAACTAACGTTTGATCATAAATAATTAGTTAAGTTTGTATGAGTATACTAAGGTGAATTGCAACATGCCCTGATACTAATGGAACAATTATTCATTTATTTCATGATTTATAGGAATGTATTTTTTGTTGCATGGTAATAAGTTGACTTTATACCTCCTTATGACTAGATTTACTTTTTTATATGACTGAATTTATTTTAATTTTTGAATAACTGAAATTGGTTTGAGTTTGTCATTGAATAATATACATACATATATATATATAAATTCAAAGAACCAAGTAATGTTTTTTCTTCTGTTTTTGTTCCTTAAATAAGGTTTTATTTTTATAATTTCTCTTTATCCATTATGTGTTAAAGAACAACAAGCAATGTTCAGTTTTTTTTCTAATAAATACATTCCTGTGTCATACTATATATAATTATGCAAAACACGCAATTTGCAGTTCATCGACTCAATTTCCCATTGTAGACTGACTGTACCATTTACAAACTGTTGCCTTTTAAAGCCAAAGTGCTGATACAAAGCTGCCTTGAATTTAAACGAAGTGGTTGCTACATAGGTAGCTAAGAGTAAACAAAAAACATGTAAGTGTTTTATACACTATTAACGATCCTAGCAATGGTTAGATAATAGTTTGTTTGTAATGGTTTATGTACATATTAAAGTATAAATTTACAGATAATATTTCTTTGTAAACTACGCCTCTTCTTCGCTACCTATTTTTTATTTAAATAAGCATAATCTGATTTTACTTTAAAAGTTTTTATCATCAGATCATTTATCAGCGCGGTATTTCAGTTTGGAGATCGCCCGAAGTTATTTTACAATTAGTTTAAAAAAACATTGACCGATCGTAAACTCTTAATTAATAAATTAATTACTAATTAAATAATCCGTCACAAATAAAGTTATTTGTCGATGTATATTTCCGTGGTTAAGCTTTTTTAAGCGTTATTGTGTCGAAATTAGTAGCCCTATACGTGTAATTTGTAGAATTTCTAGTTTCTTCGTTTTATTATTTAATAATTGTACGTAATTTTCATAGTCAATCTAAATCGTAGGAATCATGCATGATTTCACAGCATGTTATTTATAAAACGGCCGCGGTCGTTACCGAGAGAGCCTTATAAATTAATTTAACGTGAAAACTTAATTGGTGTACTGAACGGCATGTAAGCCGAATGGAACGCATCCTATTTACACTTTAATCTGTTGTCTATGGTTGATAATCCTGTTCAGTTGATAATGTTAGTAAACAATAAAAATGGCCGGTTGTGAGAGTGTATCAAAAGGTATACAGTCAAATCAAAATGAATTATTCAACTATTATATCACCATGAATATAAATAACATGTGTCGTATTTGTTTAGAAAAGGGGCAGAAGCTTATGCCCATCTTTGATCCTATAAAGCCTCCACATTTCTCAATATTAATTATGGCGTGTGCTTCAGTAGAGGTAAGTAAATTTCAAATACACATGTATTGTAATAAGGTTCCATTATATGAAAATAATATTTCCGTAGGTTTCTGAAGGTGACGGACTTCCACCTTTTATTTGTCAAAGGTGTATTGCGAAGCTGAATGTTGCATTCCAGTTTAAATCCCAATGTGAAAGTTCTGATGCAAGGTTAAGGCAATGTTTACAAAATTTGCATACTTTACCTCCGGCCACAGAACTAACCGCTTTAGTAGAAGTAGAGAAAGCCCAAAGTGATAATATTAATTTAAGAAATAACATCAAAATTGATGTTTGTGATTTAAATAGTGGACAGATTCAAGAGTACACATTACAAGATGATACCGCTCAACTTACAGGTGACAAGTTCCTTACTAATCCTAATTTAAGTAATATAAACGAAGCTGACATACAGCAATCAGCTCAAAGTGATGTGGGTTTGGAATCATTACATGAAACTTTAGAAGATATTACCAGAAATAATTTAAGGGAACTAAAATTTGATTTTCAAGAGTACAAAGATGATTCAAGTTATGTTAAAATTGAAGAGATTGGAAGACTAAATGTGGTAGATGTAGCAGTGCAACAACAAATAGTGAATAATAAAAATCAAAAACCTGTAAAAGAACATCAATGTGATACTTGTGGAAAAATTTTTCGGACAAAGCCAGGCCTTATACACCATATACGAATACATACTGGTGAACGTCCATATGTTTGTCATTTATGTGATAAACGGTTTATAAATGGTGGTCATCTTCATACACATATGAGAACACACACAGGAGAGAAGAATCATATATGTGCAGCTTGTAATAAAGCCTTTGCCACTGCTCAACAACTTACAAAGCATACAATTGCAATTCATACTTCAGAAAGACCATATGCATGTACTTATTGTTCAAAACGGTTTGCAAGTTCCAGTAATTTAAATACTCATACAAGAATACACACTGGTGAAAAAAATTATCATTGTGACCAGTGCACGAAGGCTTTTTCCACAAAAGGGCAACTTTATCAACACTTGTTGGTACATACAGGTGAGAAAGCATTTTTGTGTGAATATTGTAATAAAAGATTTTCCCAGAAGGCACATCTAATTCGACATTTAAAAATGCATAATGTTCCCAGATAGAGATTTTTACTTTCTGATAGTCGTACTGATTCAATTCATAAGCCTCAATATATTTTAGTTTTTTTGTTACTATTTATTTTGATGAAAACACTTAATTTTTAAATTGAGCTTTTAAAGTGAAAATTAAGAAGCTTTACATTAATTAAAGAACAATTATTTATTTATTTATTTATGAGAAATCAACTATTTAGTGCACNAACTTAGAAGAGCAGAGTGCTGGTAAACAATAAAAAATAAATCTAATTGATTTAAAATCAAATGAATAATTAAGTGTTAATTAAATGCCTCATTAATAAAATTATCACTTCCGTTTAAAAAAAAAATGTCGCATGTACTATTAAAAAATCAAAAATAAATCTAATTGAATTAAAATCAATTGAACAATTAAGTGCTAATTAAATGCCCCCAATAGCACTTAATTATTAGCTATATCATCTTTTGTTCTGCTGATTTTGCCCTCATAGACATGTCTTTTTTGTAACAAATAAAACACGCTCTAACTAATTAATCGTTTTAATTTAATTATCGCTCTTTGTTAGAGGTATAGATTATAAAAAAAGACAATTTTATAAATTATCTTTACAATATTGTTCTACATAGACTTTCCATAATAAGACTGTTATAGGAGATAGGAAATTTATTATTATACAGCTCTCTTTATTTTACAAAAAACATTATTATGGTTGATAATCTACCAAAATGCTTGTTAATTGCCTTAACGTTATATTGAGTCATTAATTGTATAACTTTATGAAATTGTAAAAATTAACTAAAAAAACGAGGTCTAAAAGAGTATTTTTGCTTTCTTTATTGCAGTCGATTTTTAGTAAACATCATTTTTTAAAACCAAAATGTTTAAGTGAAATGTGGTAGCTTATTTTATCATAACAGTGGCATACTTTAATTCACTGTAAGCTTTAATTTATTTTTACATATGTATAGCAAGGGCTATATTTTGTTATATTACCTGTAAGCGAAGAAAACAGTAAAAAATTTATTACAAATTTCCTGCATTCTTTTGACCACACTCATACCCAATTTTAAGTTGGACGTATTTAATACAAAAGCAAGTTAAAGCTTAAAACTTTTATTTAAAAAACATGCTAATGTTACAAGTATAAAAAAATAGTGAGTTCATTATTATTAGTACTGATACACGTTTAAAAAATGGCAGTTTTTGTGTTTTAATTTAATTAGGTTCAATTTTTAGCTCAGGTTTACTAGTTTTGGTTATGTAGCTCCTCGAGTAGGCTGGTTTTGTATGTTTTGCAACCCTTTCAATTTTTGATGCATATACAGGCTCTGTAGATTCATATTTTTTGGTAGTATTGGTAATCAGGGATAAATTTTCTGATTTTTTAGTAAAATTAGAAGGAAGTGGTATCTGCACAACAAGTACTTCTTCATTGTCAGACGTATTAGTTTGATTTTCAATTTCGTATTTTATATTATCAAGTTCTTCTTTCTTAATAACATCTATCAAGTTTGAAATAGCTTCATACTTTGAATTGAGTGACTGCCCTTCTGTGTTTGGAGTTCCTCTGTCTTCAAATTCAGAACTGTTAGTCATTCCTTCTTTCGGAGGCATTTCTTTGTGCAAATATGACACCGGCCAATGTTTAGGTTCTCCTAAATTGTTAGTTGGTTTCTCTAAAAACTGATTATCAAACTCTTTTTCATACTGATCGAGACTTTTGTGCGGAGTTGTTTTGTGTGTTTGTGGTCTATTTGGTCTGAACCTGGGATTGTACGAAGGCTGAAAGTTTGCAATTAAATTTGTTTGAAGCGGTTTTAAGTCAGGTAAATACGATTCCTTTACATGATTGGGAAGTCTGATAATTATATTTCTTGCGTAGGGGTAGTATTTATCGTTACATTGACGCCACTGAGTTTTTTGGTGGCCCACGTAGCACCTGTAAAAGATTAACAACATGAACGACAGGTCGGCTTTTATTATTTATAATACTAAATGAGCCTTTATATATAAATGTACCATTTACAGTGAAGCCTCATTCCCAAAATATAAACTACCAACTGGAACTATTTTCATCAAACATTTTAAATAAAGTAAACAAATAGCGTCTCAAAACTTATCAAAGTTTTTCGATTGGCGCCATCACTACGGGTATCATAGAAAACAGTCATGTGTGACAACCTAACTATTGTAAATATAGCATAATTTAATGTTTCTCTTCATTTTTAAAGGTGGCTACTTGTGGTTTATAAAAAACGAGATGCTTGTCCGTTCTTGTCGGTGAGCGTTGGCATGTTCTTTGCATCGTGGTTGTGGACAATTTGCATTTTATTTAATAGTGCGGTATAGTACCTTTGTAATTATTATTAATTGTAACTTGTGAGTGGTGTTTTTTTGGTGTTCATATTAAAAATGATTTCGTAAACAACGCCAAAACAGAACAGTTGTTGAAGTTAATCTTAAAAGGTAAGGAACCATTTTGCTTTTCACAGGTACTCGACGCCATGCCTGGGAATTTATCATTCTTTCATTTCTTCATTTCTTTCCATAAATATACAAATTTGTAGTGTTACAAATATGGTAATATACATAATAATTATATCAAAATACACGTTTCACATATATTTTTACAGAAATTGGCATTTATAAGGTTTCTAAGTAATTTTTTTTATAACCGCCCCCCCCACTACTAGAATTTTTACAGTAATAAGTACCTATTGAGAATTCACTTGTGAATTTTATATATTTTTGTTTCTGGCATGTAATTATTAATAAGAATTAGTAATCAATTTATGATATTACAATTACATGGATGCATCGATTAATATACTATAATCAGTTCACCTGTAACATTAAAGGTAAAATTCTTAAGAGAGGAATGCTAGAAAAAGAAATAATAGGGTATTTTCATAATTAACTTCAACGCAACATTCTATAATTAAATGATTCGGTGAATCGATTGAGTTATACTTAATTGGAAATTGTATAAAGAATAGCACCTGTTCTGCTGGCATCAAATAAACTTAGAAGAGCAGAGTGCTGGTAAACAATAAAAAATAAATCTAATTGATTTAAAATCAAATGAATAATTAAGTGTTAATTAAATGCCTCATTAATAAAATTATCACTTCCGTTTAAAAAAAAAATGTCGCATGTACTATTAAAAAATCAAAAATAAATCTAATTGAATTAAAATCAATTGAACAATTAAGTGCTAATTAAATGCCCCCAATAGCACTTAATTATTAGCTATATCATCTTTTGTTCTGCTGATTTTGCCCTCATAGACATGTCTTTTTTGTAACAAATAAAACACGCTCTAACTAATTAATCGTTTTAATTTAATTATCGCTCTTTGTTAGAGGTATAGATTATAAAAAAAGACAATTTTATAAATTATCTTTACAATATTGTTAAGCTGTAAACTTTTGAAACAGCGGAATGATTCATGTTGGTTTAATGTTGTCCTTCTTAATTTTTATAAAATGAGTTGTAATTTATTTGTAAATAATAATTTCTTACCATTGGTAAGAATATCCCTCTGAATAACCGCACTGATGATCAGGTCGACAGCAGTAGTCCCACGAATTTGGTGATGCTCCTTCAATTTCGCAAAACCAAAATCCTGCCTCTTTATTTTGTCGACTTAAACTTTTACAGGGCCATCCATTTACACTGAACATTCGCCATGTATATGGTGGATAGGCCACTCCTAAATAAAAAACACTGTGTAAATCTAAACCAGGAAAAGAGAGGGTGCACATTATAATAAAGTAGCAGAGATGAAACTTAGGAAAAATTTATATTAATTAATGTTCAGTTCGCAATCGATAAATTAGAAAAAAGTATCGATCTTTGTAAGATGCGAACAACAATTAAGTAGACACTTCAAAAATTTTATTATTGCTTATACCTGTATGGGGTTCTGAAATACTGTTGCCGTTATTGCCAATATGACTCCCCTTCGAATTCAACACCGCAACACATTCAGGATCATAATCGTTCCATGCGTACAAGGATGAGTCCTTGTCAAAAACATAATCGACATTGGGTAATAAATCGCTTTGGTAAATATCCGATAAATCACAATTGAGGGAATTTGGTGGTACATTCGATCTGTAAAAAGCGCAATTGTTTAAACAATAATTATTATTTTTTTTTTTTAATTTTCAACTAAAATTACGAAATTAATAAGCTGTGAACTTTTAATACAGGAGAATAATTTATGCAATATTATTTACCCACTACAAACTACCTCAAATTAATGAGGGAAAAATTGTTGCTGTTGTCACACCCTCACCGGGAATCGAACCCGGGACTTTTGGCTTTACGCACCTATGTTCTGACCACTAAATAGTGGGTAAATAAAAAATCGAAAAAATGATTTCAAATTAATATTGCATATTAATCCACTATTAAGTAACTAACAATATCATAGGATTTCATATATAGAATAATTTATGTTAACGTTACAAATCACGAAGGAGTCTAAACTATATTACATACTAATAGATGATTTAATAGTATGCGCCATTTTATGTTAAATTATCATAGTTGCAACATTGTATGTATTTGTATTTGGTGAATTTCAATCACGGTTATTTGAAAGTATTACCTGTTTTTCCAAAAAATTCTTAAACTAATCGAACTCTCAAATTTTTTTAAATAAAGCGTAACACCCCTCAAAAGCTTGAAATTGCATTTATTGGCCTTATATTACGTTATTTATTTATATGAAATTTATGTACCACGTTCTATTTTTCAAAAGACTATGCCATACATTGATTATATGATTACATGTAATAGAATATTTCTCGGTTCGGTTCTTAATTCGCTTGTACTGTAATTTTTCTAACCGTGTCCTGTCCCCATATTTCAAAATAGTTTTAGCGCCTTTTTTCATTTAATACTCTTAAAAGCATTTTCTGGATCAACGAAAGCTATGTATGCCTATTCCTCGTTTCTTTCGTTTTCTTTACTATTAAAACTAAAAAATGGCCTCATGCGTCCCCTATTTCTTCTAAACCTGATAAATCAGTCTACCCTTACTATATTTTTTCTGGCTTTCTTTTCAACCTCGGTACGATTCTAGTAAAAATTTTTGATGTATGAGAAGTTCAGCTAATTATTTTAAAATTTTCGCATCTATCTGTGAATCTCTTTTTTGATATATGGCCATACGTAGTTTGTGGAATCGGTAAGTTAATAAATTGGATGTAATATGTATGTAGGTATCAGAGGACGATAATATGAGACATAAACATGTTCAAATCATTTTAACTCACCTGAAACTATACGACATGCATTCAAAAAGACGTTTCTCTCTCGCTTCCGTACACTTTTGCCGGCACTCAAAATCATTTTCGACTGGAACTGAAGATTTCGTTGCTATGGGCAAGATTTTTGCGGGAGTCCCATAACCCACGTAGCATACTGCATACATAAATTAAACAATAATAGTATAATACGCACCAAATGAAGAATGTACGGCATTCCCCCTGGCGAACTTCCAGAAGGGGCATCCGTACGTTCTTCCCTAGGCCCTTACAATTTTATATTGGAGTAGGACCGAAAGTACAATTTCTCTTGGTTTCAAGAACGAAAATGCAACATAATCTCTTAGCTAAAAAATCGCATTTACTGCTTACTAGGAAAATACTTTAACATTCACTCCGTGGAATTTTCTATCAGAGGCGAATACGATGGTGGGAACCGAACCAGGCGAAGGGTTGTAAATCTCTTCCTAATAAGGAGTAATGCGATTTCTTACCCGGGAAGAAATATGTTGCTCTTTCGTTCCTGTAATCAGGCAAAAATTAATGTAGTACTTTCGGTAGGGATATGGTAAAAATAAATCCCTTGTGTAAATAACTTACGTTCGTTCATATTAGATGACGTAATGTTTCGATCGGCCGAGCCAACCTTAAAGTGAAATGGTTCACAACCATGGCCGTAACTACCTCTTTCATATATTTCGAATCCCGGTTCTAGTTTTAAGTCTATTCTAGGATTTAATTCGAAAAATGGTACATCACTTAATTGACAGTTGTCGATACTACCGCCAGGTATCGAGGGACCAAATCTGAATAGGAAATAATAGAAATTGAATCATGTTTTACAAGAAATTCGATGGAGTTCTGTGGAAAAGAACTAAATAAAACATTAATGAAATCCAAAATTCCACATATAAACGCTTAAGGTCTTAATCTTCACGCGGAGACTAAGCCTCCCTTTGTGAAATTTTGGACGTAATTATGTAAGGAAATTCGAAGTGATTAGTATTCTGTCGAAACTGCCAGACGCGGATCGCGATTTCGATCTTGCTGGATCTCATCAGCGCGTCGCAGACAGTTTCGACAGAATGAGTAACGTAAATAATTTACATTAACCATTACTTTTGGAATGAATAATGTAAAAAATTTACATTAACCATTACTTTTGTAATGAGTAACATAAATAATTTACATTAACCATTACTTTTGAAATGAATAGTGTAAAAAATTTACAGTAACCATTACTTTTGTAATGAGTAACGTAAATAATTATAGTACAGTACAGTACTGTATTTCTAATACTTTAAAATAATAGTAACGGTTAATGGAAAATATTTCCATTACTTTTGAAAAAAGTAATAGTTAATGTAATGATTGATGTAAATCATTTACATTACTCATCACGTCATTACAAAAGTAATGGTTAATGTAAATTGTTTACATTAATATTTTCGCAACTCTGATACTGACCACTTCGAATTTCTTTATTCGATTTTGGTAGCGTGTCTATCACGTGGGTGAGCTACGCCGTGGATTTAGTTCAGCAAGGAGATATCCATCCATTTAAATGGACATCAACGAGCATATTGAATTCCACTAAATGTAACATTGTACTACAGATGGCGTTTACCGTGTCATTTGAAAGATTTCGTAATTATATGAAGCTAGCACAACAAAGTTATATTTCTTGAAATGCACTATAATTTGCCACTTATTATTAGCTAATTTGTTACCAAATCTACAAATTTGTCGATTACTGACAGATAGACATTGTTTTAACTTGAAATTAAGTAGGAGCCATAATTTGTCACTGAATGATGATACTTTTACACATTTTGTTTTCAAGTTCAATCACGAGCTTATCAGCTCATCGAGCTGGTACTGCACATAGCGTATCTCGAAATAGAAATATTGCAGGAAAATTCAGTAAGGACCATACTTTGCCTCTAGAAGATACCTTTTTTGTCTCAAGTTCTGTCTCGAGCTTAAAAACTCGTCAAGTTGGTATTACACGAGATAGAAATATTATTGAACAATACGGTAAAGATCTTAATTTGTCGCTGGTACCTTAGCTGATTTTGTGCGAGTTCAACCTCTAGCAACTCAACAAAAAATAACTGGAGGTCGTCCAACCGGCACTACACGTAGAATATCTTAATATCACTTTCATATTTTTTAAATTTGTCAAGGATGAAAGGTAAGTTCAGTCAGTTGTCAATGCAGTACCACTGATGATGTCAGCCATAGCCGACGAAACGTTTGGACCTAACATTTCATTTAGACCGCGGCCCTTCTGCTCGAATCATAATTTGGATTTCGGCCGTGAAATCAAACAAAATTCGAGAAAACAAGTTTACCTGTAACTAAACGCTCTGCAAGTAAATCGTTTACTGTGAAGACATTCTAGCTGACATTCTGGCAGCGTTTGACATGTGAGTGAATCCTTAACAACGGTATGGTCAAATCTTAGTCCACTTCTTACCCTCCAGAAGCATTCTGAAATTGCAACGATTTTAAATTGTGAATAATTAATTTTTGAATGTTCTTCGAGGGTTAAAATAGTTGCGTTACAGCATATACATATAATAAATACGTGACAGTACATATCTTATTTTATATAATTAAAGTGTCATGTAGGACATGCAGTTACCACTATATCCTCGACTAGATATTAGTAGATTGTGACAAACTTCTCGATTGTTCATCGTGTACACGTCGAAATTTCTATCCGGTTCTAAATCAGCATAGTAATCAATTGTCTTATGAGTCTTGTCGCTCAGATAACAATTTTCTGGAGGTACTGATGGACCATATGTATACCTACATGAAAATGAGAATTATTTTGAGTAAGCTCCGGGTCAGTTGGTTAAGTAAGTAGGGCAAGGGTGACGGTCTAGTCGCATATAACAACAAGAAATAAATTTTGTGCTCACGATAGGCTAATTTGGGAATTCGAATGCGTTTAAGATGTGGTGTTATAGGAGGATGCTAATAACACCATGGTTAGAATTCAAAAGGTATTACAATTAGAAAGAGTAGGAGAATAGGCAGTGTTATATACAATACATACACGGAGAAAACTAAATTGTTATGACAACGCAAAAATTACAATTTTCGTAGAAATTAGTAGAAGTTATTATTATAACTTGTAATAATCTCAATTTCGACATGTTTCTTTAAAAATTATTTCAAGTTTCTTAATTATTGCAATTAAATTTGTGATGTCAACGAAAATACATAGTAAATTTATTTCTGTTGGGATTTTATTTTTACAAATTCGGGTCCAAATTGTAACTTTTATTATTTTCGCTTACGAAGCAACGGGCCAATAGGATGAATAGTATAATAAGCAGGAGTTGAGAGGGGCAGATGTACACCTAGATTAGATTACTCTTCGCAAATAGTGCGCGTCTACACTTTGAACTGAAGACCTTATGACCTTTATTCTCGAAATGATCAGTATAAAGAACCGGTCAGTACATAAGTATGAATGGCTAGTGTAAATAAAAAACGATCCGAATGGAATTACATAATTACGGGTTAAATTATTTTATGAGTTAATTTAGTTAATTAGTTGTACCACGTGGATTTAAATATTGACCATTTATATTTAATTACTGATAAAAGGAGATTAAAATAGTGATCAGTAAAAATGAACTTGTTAAACATGAATGTATCCCCAATTACTAGCAAATGTTGGAGTTACTAAGCCACATTTAGTTGTATAAGAACTGTTTCATCTTTCCGAAATTGTTAAAAAAACCGCGTCCTGTATTATTTCGTTTTAGTTTATTTTTTATTTTTTTCGTTTCCAATCCCTTATGTTATTAAATAATTTAATATCATACTTGGCAAATCAGCTTGCAATCTGCAAGATAAAGTAAGCAAACAATAAATCGCCAACAATAATTGGTTTACATCGTATTAGTTGGTCAAAGTATTTAGAGTTACTTATTTTCCTTACAACAAGTAAGTAATCTAAAGTATTGTTCAAGTGTTGTGCTTATAGGACAATGGAAAAATTTTGAAGAAAGCCAAACTTAAAAGGAAACTTTTTTATATAATTCCAATTAATTTTTCTGAAACAGGTGATCGGCTGCAAACCTTAATTTCATGACTACAATTATTGTCTTGATTACCTGAAGGCGTACGAAGAACAGATGAATGCTTTCTCCTTGAAACAAAGTAACTCACATTCGTAAATATCCTTGACAGCTAAAAATTTTCTAACGACATGCCGGTGTAGCCTAAATCCGCTGGTCATTCTCAATGAACAAGCTAAAATAATATTACATGTAAATCGTAACTATTGTAGTATACCATATTGTAAATTCCACCTTTTTTCACTAAACTGTCACTATCAATAAACCCTGGTTCGAATCCTGTTCTATGACCAAAAAAATATTGATTACCAGTTGGAGGAAAATGTTTGAACGGCTGGTATTGGGGAGGTTGAATAAAAAAATTTGAAAAATATTGCTGATCGTCATATCTTCTCAATCCCCAATAGTTATAACTGTCTTTATGATGATCGTAATAACTTTTTTGACCTCCGTACCCGTATAAACCACCGTAAGCATTCCACTCTTTTGGTTTGTGTGCCGGTACAAACGGTTGACGAGTTTTGTCGATNAACTTAATACCCGATAATGTAATTTTCTTTTCATCTTAAAATACCAAATAATCTCAGTAGAATCGTGAATTCATAAATTTTAGATGTGAATCTTAGAGTATGTTTTTAAAAAACTTTTTGATTTACTTTGATAATTTAAATTGATGTTTGATGATCGTAATAACTTTTTTGACCTCCGTACCCGTATAAACCACCGTAAGCATTCCACTCTTTTGGTTTGTGTGCCGGTACAAACGGTTGACGAGTTTTGTCGATCTGATAGTCATCCCAAACAATTGGTTTATTAGGAACATTAGTAAAATAGCCATTAGGTTTGCCAAAATTTCCATAGGATCCACCCCAATAGCTGTTCTTGTCATCAAATCCCCAGTATCTGAAATCTTGTTCCCTTTTCCGAAAATAGTTGTCCCAGAACTGGTCTTTTTGGTAATAATCGATTTCAGGAGGCAAAAACGGTTCAAACGATTTATAGTCATAAACTGGGGGTTCCCCGTGTGGTAGATACGACTTTCGATCATTATCATGTAAATAATAAGGGGGTCGCTTGTGGTACAGTTGGGGCGGGGGTGGTGGTAGTAATCGTCTTCTGTCGTCTTCAGGATAAAATCTTCCTTTATCTGAGTGATAATTTGGAGTAACTGGATTAGGTTCGTAACGTGGTGTTGTGACATCAGGGATTGTGGAATGGTCGGGAAGGTACGTTGTGGGTATTGTGGGTGGTTGAAGATCTTTTCGACTCGCGTCTACACCTCCTGCGGGAAGGTATGAAGGGACGCGAGCCGTATGGTGAAAAAACCGCCCACTGTCATGGTTAAAACGATCTTCTTTGGAAAAGTTGTAGGAACGATGACCTTCCACATTAAAGCGATGATCGTAGAAATCGTAACCTTCAAACAAGCAAAATTGTTCCTGTTTTACTACTAACGCAAGTTTTCTTTAGATATTTTTAAATAATCAATAATTAAAAGAAATATGAAAACTAGAAGTCCTTCTAAAATTGATCCGTGTTTAGTCAGAAAATAGTCCTAGAGAAGCCCAAAAGTTTAGGAGAAGCGTTACAAATTTTTTACGTTAAAAAATGTCATTTTAAAACTCAAAAATTATCACTGTTTACAGTGAAGTACCTAGGAAGAAGAGAGAAATTAGTAAAAATCATCTGATTTGGGTCGACACTCTGAAATCTAAATGAAATTCTTTTAATAGTATAAATATTACTAATACGGAATAACTTTTGTATTCTACAACCAACATGCTTTTATTCTTACTTTTGTCTCCTCGTTGTCCACCCCTATAGGGTGGTGGAGGATCATATCGATAACCGTCATCTTGTTCATATGAAGGAGGAGGTCTATAACGCCTATCATCGTAATACACGTTTCTATCATCTTTACCGTAGTTCCTTCCCCCATAATTGTTTCTACGTGGAAAATCGTATCCACTTCCTCTGTCAAAGGGCGGTCTGTACTGGCGGCTTGGTGGTCTATCGTAGTTACTGTAAGTAGGTCTTTGCATAGGGTATGTCTTGCAGTCCGGACCCACATTACGGTCTCGTTCGTAGTAGTCGTAATCGGGGTCGTGAACGATGTCCCTTCTGAGATTGATTTCTTGGAGTGGAAAATCTAACAGTTCGCATTCTCCTTGTCCTTTGCCTGACTGATCTAGTCTTGAATTGAAATTGGAAATTCGAAATTCACGTAGGTACATAATTAATAAAGTCCATCTTTTAAAAATTCGATTGAATTTTGTTTCTGTATATCTGAATAGGTGAATTGAAAACTATGAAAATCAAAAAGAAATAGGCGAGATAGGTTGGTAGGACACCTTCTCAGGCATGAAGGGCTAGCAAGAGACATATTAGAGGCAGAAACAGGAGTTGAAAGGGGTAGAGGTAGACCTAGATTAGATTAGTGTTCGCAAATAGTTGAAGATGTAGGATATTCTAGTTTTAGGGAAATGCGAAGATTAGCTCAGGATAGGAAAGAGTGGAGGTGCGTGTCCAACCAGTCTTACGACTGACGACCTTATGATTATGATGATTTATGATTAGCCGATTTCTTCACCTATTTTAATGATTATTTTTTATTGAATAGGCTTTATCTCTAGGGTGAAGCATATCAAACGATCCGAATGGAATTACATAATTACGGGTTAAATTATTTTATGAGTTAATTTAGTTAATTAGTTGTACCACGTGGATTTAAATATTGACCATTTATATTTAATTACTGATAAAAGGAGATTAAAATAGTGATCAGTAAAAATGAACTTGTTAAACATGAATGTATCCCNTATGACGATGAGTTTTTCGTTTAAAAACGATTGCACCTGCTCTTGATCATTGCACTAACAGAAGATTTTTCTGGGTTACATACATTTATCTCTGATATCCTTAAAATGACATAGTTCGAAATAAGTTCGTAGCAACAAATAATGTAAAATGCGTGCAGTTGTAGCGTGATCGTGACTATTTTTACGGATGTTGCAGCATTTAATTTGCAAGAATTTCAGGGTTAACGATTACAAGTAGCTCTTTTTTTAATTAGTCGTACTTGATATTCAAATTTTGGTTCAAAAACTGGTTAAAAGTACTTTTATGATTTCGTGGAGACATGACAAATTATACAGCCAGGGCATATTAAAATAATTAAAGATTACAATTTTTTAACAATAATAAATTGCAGCAGGGAATGGAAAAAGTTATATTACATACTAATAGATGATTTAATAGTATGCGCCATTTTATGTTAAATTATCATAGTTGCAACATTGTATGTATTTGTATTTGGTGAATTTCAATCACGGTTATTTGAAAGTATTACCTGTTTTTCCAAAAAATTCTTAAACTAATCGAACTCTCAAATTTTTTTAAATAAAGCGTAACACCCCTCAAAAGCTTGAAATTGCATTTATTGGCCTTATATTACGTTATTTATTTATATGAAATTTATGTACCACGTTCTATTTTTCAAAAGACTATGCCATACATTGATTATATGATTACATGTAATAGAATATTTCTCGGTTCGGTTCTTAATTCGCTTGTACTGTAATTTTTCTAACCGTGTCCTGTCCCCATATTTCAAAATAGTTTTAGCGCCTTTTTTCATTTAATACTCTTAAAAGCATTTTCTGGATCAACGAAAGCTATGTATGCCTATTCCTCGTTTCTTTCGTTTTCTTTACTATTAAAACTAAAAAATGGCCTCATGCGTCCCCTATTTCTTCTAAACCTGATAAATCAGTCTACCCTTACTATATTTTTTCTGGCTTTCTTTTCAACCTCGGTACGATTCTAGTAAAAATTTTTGATGTATGAGAAGTTCAGCTAATTATTTTAAAATTTTCGCATCTATCTGTGAATCTCTTTTTTGATATATGGCCATACGTAGTTTGTGGAATCGGTAAGTTAATAAATTGGATGTAATATGTATGTAGGTATCAGAGGACGATAATATGAGACATAAACATGTTCAAATCATTTTAACTCACCTGAAACTATACGACATGCATTCAAAAAGACGTTTCTCTCTCGCTTCCGTACACTTTTGCCGGCATTCAAAATCATTTTCGACTGGAACTGAAGATTTCGTTGCTATGGGCAAGATTTTTGCGGGAGTCCCATAACCCACGTAGCATACTGCATACATAAATTAAACAATAATAGTATAATACGCACCAAATGAAGAATGTACGGCATTCCCCCTGGCGAACTTCCAGAAGGGGCATCCGTACGTTCTTCCCTAGGCCCTTACAATTTTATATTGGAGTAGGACCGAAAGTACAATTTCTCTTGGTTTCAAGAACGAAAATGCAACATAATCTCTTAGCTAAAAAATCGCATTTACTGCTTACTAGGAAAATACTTTAACATTCACTCCGTGGAATTTTCTATCAGAGGCGAATACGATGGTGGGAACCGAACCAGGCGAAGGGTTGTAAATCTCTTCCTAATAAGGAGTAATGCGATTTCTTACCCGGGAAGAAATATGTTGCTCTTTCGTTCCTGTAATCAGGCAAAAATTAATGTAGTACTTTCGGTAGGGATATGGTAAAAATAAATCCCTTGTGTAAATAACTTACGTTCGTTCATATTAGATGACGTAATGTTTCGATCGGCCGAGCCAACCTTAAAGTGAAATGGTTCACAACCATGGCCGTAACTACCTCTTTCATATATTTCGAATCCCGGTTCTAGTTTTAAGTCTATTCTAGGATTTAATTCGAAAAATGGTACATCACTTAATTGACAGTTGTCGATACTACCGCCAGGTATCGAGGGACCAAATCTGAATAGGAAATAATAGAAATTGAATCATGTTTTACAAGAAATTCGATGGAGTTCTGTGGAAAAGAACTAAATAAAACATTAATGAAATCCAAAATTCCACATATAAACGCTTAAGGTCTTAATCTTCACGCGGAGACTAAGCCTCCCTTTGTGAAATTTTGGACGTAATTATGTAAGGAAATTCGAAGTGATTAGTATTCTGTCGAAACTGCCAGACGCGGATCGCGATTTCGATCTTGCTGGATCTCATCAGCGCGTCGCAGACAGTTTCGACAGAATGAGTAACGTAAATAATTTACATTAACCATTACTTTTGGAATGAATAATGTAAAAAATTTACATTAACCATTACTTTTGTAATGAGTAACATAAATAATTTACATTAACCATTACTTTTGAAATGAATAGTGTAAAAAATTTACAGTAACCATTACTTTTGTAATGAGTAACGTAAATAATTATAGTACAGTACAGTACTGTATTTCTAATACTTTAAAATAATAGTAACGGTTAATGGAAAATATTTCNAACAATAATAAATTGCAGCAGGGAATGGAAAAAGTAAATTAATTAAAATGTTTTTTCAACTAAGGGCTGTTGTAAATTGCAGATTCCTGTTGATGAGTAACAAAATTAACGAAATAAATAAAATTTTGCAAATTTTAAATCTTCCTACCTTAAAGTGAACTTTAGAAGTTAATAAACTTAATACCCGATAATGTAATTTTCTTTTCATCTTAAAATACCAAATAATCTCAGTAGAATCGTGAATTCATAAATTTTAGATGTGAATCTTAGAGTATGTTTTTAAAAAACTTTTTGATTTACTTTGATAATTTAAATTGATGTTCTCTGAATAGTGAATTGAAACATTAATAATAATTTTTTGTTTATGTTGTTAATATCAACATTCAACCTACCTGTAATTAAAACCTTCGCAAACAAATTGACTTTCTTCGGCGCATTCTTTCATACAGTCTTCAAGTCGTTCACAAAATACCGCTTTTCTTACAATGGATGGGGTTATTCTTTTTCCAGCTAGGACACGTCTGTAGCAGGCTATTAAACAAAAAATTAAATTCGTTTACGTATATTTATAATGACACGTGAGCTTTTACCAACAAAGTAATTAATAAGGTCGGAATTCTGGGTTTTAATGTCCTTGGGGTTGGTAAAATATCGACATATGCATTCCAAGAAAATGAAGAATAAAACTTAGATGCCGGAAAAAGTGTGATTCATTTATTGATTGTATTTTTTTTATAGAAAATTTAATAGATAGCAGATGACTGTATGTATTCGTATTATTTATTTATTACTTAATTTTCGTAATCTACCTTTGAATAATCGTTTACCGAATAGTATATTTTTGTCCATAATATCAGGTTTACCGAGCTGATCACTGTCAAATGACCTATTTTTTCCGATAAAAGTAAATGAAAACAACCTTTCACAAAAATGGGATTATTTGAAATAGAATTCTTGATCCAAAAAAGACCTACTCCTAAAATTTCTTTAACTAAAATTATATAAAAGCACACTTTTTTTTCCAAAGATGAGTCCTTGTTAAATTGACTTTATTTTTCTACTGGTATTACATTTAATGAAAAATTCCTTTACATGACGTATTCTTTTATAGTGGCATTCTTCATACGTTTATTTTTCTACATTTTTATCTGACTTTCTCACAGACATTGTGTCAAGTTTGAACGAGGTAGATCACAAATTTGTGTACAGGTGATATGTACTTGTACATATTGATGTATAATGCGAATAACATTAACATTATAATGGAACGGTGTCCATAAAAACGCTTTTTGCTTTAAAGATTGGTGAAAAATAAAATTAATTCAATTAAAATGGAAAATCTTGATTTAAAACATGTCAAATGTATTTCATTCAAACAAAAAAAATGTAAATTTTGGTTACAAATTATTCAGGAGAAGGAAATTTAACTTTGAAGAAACCACATTGTGACTAAAAAATTGTAGTAAAATCAATAAGCTCTTTCTTTTTTGCTATTTTGACGAAGTTATCAGAACTAAAAAAGACTTGTCTACTAATTTTTTACTTCTATTGAATACAAACAATAGGTTGTATTTGATTTAATCGTAAATAGTAATTTGTGCATATGTTTTTGAATTTCGCTTACAACGTAATTTTTTTAAATGCGGAAAGTCGTTTTTCTAATATAAATCATAAAATTTTATTTTAATCACGAAATTACTGTACAGTTTAAATGGAAATGTTGCACTTATATTTTTGAGCCAAACTGCTGAGGATAACGTAGATTAATTGAATAAACTGAAAATGTATTAATGTTATTTTAGCAAANATAGTGGCATTCTTCATACGTTTATTTTTCTACATTTTTATCTGACTTTCTCACAGACATTGTGTCAAGTTTGAACGAGGTAGATCACAAATTTGTGTACAGGTGATATGTACTTGTACATATTGATGTATAATGCGAATAACATTAACATTATAATGGAACGGTGTCCATAAAAACGCTTTTTGCTTTAAAGATTGGTGAAAAATAAAATTAATTCAATTAAAATGGAAAATCTTGATTTAAAACATGTCAAATGTTTTTCATTCAAACAAAAAAAATGTAAATTTTGGTTACAAATTATTCAGGAGAAAGAAATTTAACTTTGAAAAAACCACATTCTTACTAAAAAATTGTAGTAAAATCAATAAGCTCTTTCTTTTTTGCTATTTTGACGAAGTTATCAGAACTAAAAAAGACTTGTCTACTAATTTTTTACTTCTATTGAATACAAACAATAGGTTGTATTTGATTTAATCGTAAATAGTAATTTGTGCATATGTTTTTGAATTTCGCTTACAACGTAATTTTTTAAATGCGAAAAGTCCTTTTTCTAATACAAATCATAAAATTTTATTTTAATCACGAAATTACTGTACAGTTTAAATGGAAATGTTGCACTTATATTTTTGAGCCAAACTGCTGAGGATAACGTAGATTAATTGAATAAACTAAAAATGTATTAATGTTATTTTAGCAAATTATAAATGGCTTATCAGTAGTATTGTAGTAATGTAACGAAATATGTTTTTATAATGTAGCGTTACCTTTAGCATCTTCTACTATAATGACTCTTGACGATAGACTAGCTCCGATTTCCAAAACTATTACCAAATATATCACATAAACACAGGATGTTTTCATCTTAATGAGAAAAATAACAAAAAGTCCTTTTAAAAGGCGTCACTAAACACATGTTACACTATAAATTAATCGCAGTGAAACCCATGTGTTTGTACTGTTCTAACAATTTAAGATCGGCTGCTAACCATGTCTTGGTGAAACGATGTCGGTGAGAATGAAAATTTACATACAAAACACAAAGTTGCAAAACGTTTTCTGATGTAAACTAGATACAGTGGCAGTTGTAACATTCGATGTTCAAAATTATAAAATTGTAATTAGTAGTAGCAGTAGTAGTTAATGAACTACAGTTTAGTGTTGCCGCGCTTTATAATTTTCCGGACGCCGATGATGCAATGAAAATGAAAATTTTGAAATAGGTATGACGATGAGTTTTTCGTTTAAAAACGATTGCACCTGCTCTTGATTATTGCACTAACAGAAGATTTTTCTGGGTTACATACATTTATACATTCCGTTTTCAAGGATAGGTTCGGTCGTTTATGAATGGCTCGGTATTGTTACATTTTCCTTTCTTAGTCAGTAGAGGGGAACTAAAAAAAGCTCCCAGTTTTCGTTAGAACAAATGATATGACAGAATTACTCGCACTATCGATCAACATTTGTACTAATAACTAAATAAGTCAGTGGTTGATATTATTTTAATTTATTGAATTAAATTTTGAATATTCGAGCTTTTTTGAAAACTGAAACTAGCAGATTATTAAGCAGTTTTAAATAAATTTAATCATGCATTTTACTGACCATATTAAATATTACAATAAGCTACGTATTTAACGAAAATAGTATAATTGAAAGAAAAATTTTAGGTTTTTGACTCGATTAACTCGATGAAATAACTTTCGTTGAAAGTAGTCTACCAATAGAGAGTAGTTCCATTCGTATATTAAAATTAAGGCAAAAAAAAAAACAACAAGAAAAGAATTCATCAAGAGTATCATTAGGTTCTTAGTCAATATCTCATCGAAACGACCATACGTAAGTGACTTATTAGTTCTTATCAGCACGCCATAGATTATCGCACAAATCNTACTGACCATATTAAATATTACAATAAGCTACGTATTTAACGAAAATAGTATAATTGAAAGAAAAATTTTAGGTTTTTGACTCGATTAACTCGATGAAATAACTTTCGTTGAAAGTAGTCTACCAATAGAGAGTAGTTCCATTCGTATATTAAAATTAAGGCAAAAAAAAAAACAACAAGAAAAGAATTCATCAAGAGTATCATTAGGTTCTTAGTCAATATCTCATCGAAACGACCATACGTAAGTGACTTATTAGTTCTTATCAGCACGCCATAGATTATCGCACAAATCGAAAGTAAAATTTGGTATAATATCAACATATCAATTCAGTATGTTCAGTATTATAAAGTTGCTAAATTTTAACTAGGTATTTTCTGTATGCTATAAACATTTAAGCTTAAAATTCATCCATAATCATTGTGTCATCATCATCATAAGGTCGTCAGTCCTAAGACTGGTTGGATACGCACCTGCATTCTTTCCTATCCTGAGCTAATATTCGCAATTCCCTAAAACTAGAACAACTCACACCCTTAACTATTTGCGAACAGTAATCTAATCTAGGTCTACCTCTACTCCTTCTAACTTCCGTTTCTACCCCTAATATGTCTCTGGTCTAGAAGCCTGAGAAGGTGTCCTACCAACCTATCTAGCCTATTTCTTATTGACTTCCATGGAGTCATCTGTTCTATTGTTTCTAATGTCTCTTCATTTCTAACCTTCTCTCTCCACGGCATCCTCATCATTCATCTATAACACCACATTTCGAAATCTTCTAACCTTTTCTTTTCCGCCGTTCCCACTGTCCATGTTTCGCACCCATACAGTGCCGCACCCCAAACATACGCCTTTAACAACCTTTTTCGATTTTCTAAATTAATCATTTGCGAGCATAGAAGTGACTTCTTTTCATTGAAAGCGACTCGACCCTGATCTATCCTCTGCCTTATATCCCTACTACTCCTTCCGTCCTGACTTATCTGAGTTCCTAGATACCTAAAATCAGTCACTTCTTCTAATTTTTCGTCTCCTATCTTTATATTCGCTCTTTCCCTACTTTTTCTTTCCTTGCATGCCAGTATTTTTGTTTTACTTTTATTTATTTTCATACAGTATTGTTTTGTCAATACCGCTTCCATTTTATTTAAAGCTATCTCTAACTCCTCCTTGTCGGATGCTAATACTGCTATATCATCGCAAATCTAAGCATACTAATCTTTTGCCCCTGTTTATATATCCCTACAGTTGCACTGTCTTTAATCATTGTGTAATTTACTTTTAATTGTGAATTTCTTTCCTGTATCTAACGTATGTACGAGGGTGGATTGATAAGTTTCCGGCCTGACCAAGAAAAACAAGGTTTTTAAAAATTTTTTTTTTTTATTTCTCAACATAATCTCCTCCAAGGCTGATACATTTCTCATAGCGGTGTTCCAGTCTATTAATGCCATCTCTATAGACTGATTCGTCAAGCTCCTCAAAATAACCATTTACAGCTTCGATTACTTCTTCATTGTCCGCAAATCTCTTACCGCCAAGCCATTTTTTGAGATTAGGGAACAGAAAATAGTCACTCGGGGCTAGGTCTGGAGAGTAAGGAGGGTGCGGCATCAATTCAAACTTTAGATCGTTGATTTTAGCCGTCGCAACGATTGACGTGTGCGCTGGTGCGTTATCGTGATGAAACAAGATTTTTTTCTTCGCCAGATGAGGTCGTTTAATTTTCACCTCGTGGCTCAAACGTTGCAATAAGTCTGCGTAGTATTGACCAGTGATAGTATTACCCTTTGCAAGGTAATCAATGTATATAATACCTCTTGCATCCCAAAAAACAGTAGCCATAACCTTGTTCGCCGAAAAAATTGTTTTTGCCTTCTTTGGAGTTGGTTCCCCTGGTCCAATCCACTGTTTAGACTGTTCTTTGGTTTCAGGAGTGTAGTGGTGGACCCACGTTTCGTCAACGGTTACGAATCGACGCAAAAATTCGCTTGGATTACGCTTATACAATGACAAATTTGCGGTAGAAATGTTTTTTCGAATCAATTTTTGGTCGACTGTTAGCAAACGCGGCACCCATCTTGCACAGAGCTTTTCCATATGCAAATGTTGGTGCAAAATATGTTGCACACGTTCATATGACATCTTACAGGTCTCAGCTATCTCACGCACTTTCAATCTGCGGTCTCCCAGCACTATTTGATGAATTTTTTCGATCATATCTGGAGTTGTGACCTCAACGGGGCGTCCTGAGCGAGGCCCATCAGAGGTGCTCACACGACCCTTTTTAAACTCGGAAACCCACTGCTTAACGGTTGAATATGACGGGGAGGATGTCCCCAGTGTTGAGTCCATCTCTTTTTTAATTTCCTTCGGCGTTAACCCCTTCAAATAAAAGTATTTGATGACAGCACGATTTTCCTGCTTTTCCATTTTTACGAAAACCACAGAGGCGTCTTGTTCAGCGTGCTGTCAAACCTACACTAGCAAGGAGATCGGGCTGAAACTATAGCTACAAGCTATCCAAGGATGGTACTATAGAATGTCACCTCAAGGTAGGCCTAGTGGCGTCATCTCTTGGTTAGGCCGGAAACTTATCAATCCACCCTCGTATATTATTTATACATATAAAACCTACATGTATAAGTAGTTTTTATCTACGCAATGGAAAAAACTGGAACAGCCCTTGTTGAGTTCCCCGAGACCCTACGAACTAAAAAAACTAGCTTTTTGAATATTTATTTAAACATGATTGTCATCAAAACGGAGGGATGAATTTAAATGCAGTTTCCACTTTCATATTCTATGTGAATAATAGAGTAAGGTTTTATCAAGGTTCCTCAACAATTGGGTTCCATTTCGTAATAGTATTTGTACACGTTAGCAAAGCCGCGGGCACAATCAAGAAGTAATGGCTGTTAATTAAATTTTATTCCATCCAGCATAAAATATTGAAATTTATAACTTACTTTTAGTAATGTGCTATAACTCATAATAAAAAATTAAGTCTGCTATATAACGGTCTCAGTATTTATTTTCAATCAATATTACTCATTAATAGTAACTAACACTACCTTTAGTAGGAGGGGTAATAGTAAGCTACTTAAAATCGATTGATGGTATTCCTTTATCAGATATTTACTATTTGTCAGATGTTCACCAATTGTTTAGAAGAAATTTGACCTTCATTTCCGTTATACCTTACAATTACCGGAACTTGAAAAATAAATGTAAGGTCATATGTCTCATCTGCAATATAAATTACTCGTTAATCTTTTATTCTTTACGATGGACCTTGTGATAAACATTGCATACTAGCCGCATTAACCAATTAATACCTGCTTATTTTTATCTTTGCTTTTATCTGCGTATCTTTGGAGTAATTATTTTAAAACTCATCCCTAGTTAAAGTACTTATGTATTTATTTTCAATAATTACACATCTTTTTTGTAGTTTATAATGAAATTCTCAAGTGTCGCCTATCCGTAAAAAGGCTAAACAATTGTTAGAAAGAGGCAGTAAATCGCCATCTCTTGGCAAATTGTTGGCCAAAAACTAACTGTTCTTTAATTGATTAAATTTATAATTGACCAATCAGTTTATATTGGTTCGTACTATGTCTAATGTTTCAATATTTTTGCGGTAGTTTCCTATATAAAACAACGAAAACATGCAAATCTACGACTAACTTATTTCGAATTCATTTCCAGGGATCTATTTTTTACCGATTTAATTGGTCTCTAAAGTGAAGAAACAATCCGAATCAATAATCGAAATACAATGTTTCGGATTTTGACTGACACTTCATTTGTTAATCCTCAGAAATGACCAGTCGAATCTATATACAAGTCGACTCTAACATAAAAGTACTTATCTTATATTTTATGTTACACCAATTGCATGTACTCGATATGCCTAAAAATTAACCAACAAAAAAATATCCCTAGTTGGTCTAAATCTAATATAATATGATTTATTTCCAAAGTGGCCCTCAAAATCATTTGGATCGGCCACCCCTGTACTAGGCAATACAGTTTCGCCGAAGATGTGAAATACATGTAGGCAACCATGCAAATTAAATAGCTGGGTTTTAAATTAGAGGTTACTGTTCGTTCTGCGGTGTATGTATAAAAAAATATTTAGTGTTTTCTGTGAAATTAAAAGTGCAAAAGTGGATGTTATCGGAGTAGTACCTAATGGCAGAACATTCAGGTATGACATAATAATGTTTAGGAAACAAAATTATACTTCATTATTTAGTATTTGTTTATACTGTTTGAAAATGGTGTAAGTAATAGCCCAAGCAATTGTCAGAGATGAACATTATTAAACTTCATTCAAATTTGTGATTTATATAATTGTTTCACCAAGTGGTAAGCAATCATACAATTTCAAATAAAGACGTTAATTGTAGTAAAACTTGAA